TTCCCTTTCTATTTACTCATTCTTTTGGTTTCTTTTGTGCTCTTCAGTCTTTAATGACACTCTCAAACATCTTGCTGTCTTGGCATCAACACTGTTGATGAGAGGCCACATCTGCAAACTGTTTATCTGGGTACAGAACTCAGTGGAGAAGATGACATTTGCCACCTGGCCCAAGGTTTCAGGCATAATTTTGTCATCTGTTAGGACTGAAAGGAGTTGTTGCAGTTCAGGTTATATGGCATTTTTTCTGTAAATTTAGCTTTCCCTGATTCTTTCCTCCCTTTCACCTACCAAGAGGTAGTCATGCAAGAAAGAAAGAAATTGTGGTAGTGAGCAGTGAAAAGAAGAAGTTGGCAGATAAGTGAGTGGACACGGGTTATCCTCTAGCATTTTTTTTCTTGGAGTAGATTAACTGATTTGTATCTGTTTAAGTTCCAGTGTGTAGCTGTCAATGAATCCCTTTGAGCTATGTACATTTTTAAGTGAGATTTACGATATCTGTGTTCTTTGAGTGTAAGAAGAAATGATCAAGAAATATTTTAACTTCTCAGGTTCCACTTGTTCGTTGTAGTCACTAAGAACTGCCCTAATATTTTAGTTTGTTGAAATATTAAAAATACACAAGCTGCTTTCTTGTTCTCCTTGCATGACCTCTCTAATGGGCTCTGGCCTAGGATAGCACAATACCTCCAGGCTATTGCCTCTTTCAGCTGCTTTTCCCAGCTAAGTGATCAGTCATGCAGAGAAAGGACATGCACTCGCTCAGTCTTTCTCCCAAGACCCAACTTGCCAATTAGCTGAGTGGGGTTAGGTGGTGGTGGGGAGAATTACACACCTCTTGGCTTACTTCACCCACAATGCTGATGGGTGAGGAGCATTTAGTGGGCTGTTTGTGCTAAAGAGCCAGAATAAATTTGAGTGACCTTTTATTTCTAGGTTACAGTAGAGAATGCATGCTGTTACCCTTGAACATTTGTTGCTATTCTTGCTTCTGTTGTTTGTCCTCTCCACTTGAAAGTTCTGCACTTTGTGTTCTTTTTTTGTGATCTTCTCTTTGGGATAAATTAATAGGGAGTGGAGGATGATGGAAATTATGCTTCAGAAAGTGTACCAAAGCTATGTGACAGATAGTAACTATGTATAGTTATGAGGAACTGGAAAGGAAGGTATTTGTTTTACCAACTTAGTATATAGCTAGATTCAATCAAGCTTGTTTCTGAAATTTTTCCAAGAAAATCTGTGCCAGGAAGTGTGTGCAGCATGGGGTGCCTCATTCATTATTTGATAGTTGTAGAAGACATTTCTGCTTTTATTTTCTGAATCTGAGTTCAGATTGTTTCATGGGTCCCTTTACCCTAGGACCAACTGAGGAGATCTCCTGTGGTAATTAAAATAATAAAGTGTCATTCACTGTTTCTGTTAACTGCTGTAGCAGGTTTTATGCAGCATTTTATGTTCGATTTCCACTATAAATGCTACTTTAATTCTGTGAATACAGTGGCCACCTTTAAAAGCTTGCCAATGTTATCCTAGAGAAAAGTTGTGTTATTGTAGTATCTGCACAACCTAAAAACTGTTCCCCAAGCTGGTCAGCCCATTTCACCAGAATTGCTGTTTAGGCTCTTTACATTCTGTTTTACAGCCCCTTTAGCTCCAACTCTTACCGATTTGTTTATCCCTTCTGATTATTAAATAAATAAACAAACCACACAAAAATCTCAAGTGAAACTTCTGCTTATAGTTAACATTGTACATGTGAACCTACATAGAAATAAGGAAAATTACTATTTAAAACATCACACCATACAGCAAACTCCTCATCAGCACATCTTCCCCAGTCCTCAAGTCTGCAGCAGATGTTCCTTCCAGTTGCACTCAGATGTGTGGAACCATAAATGAGATTATAATTCTGGGATAGATACAGCATTTTGTAAGGCTGTGGAGATGCTGAATACATTTATCTTAACGATGATTGAATGGTAGAATTATGAATGGAAATTAATCTACCCTATTGTGTTACTTCCATTGATGAATGTTTTGAAATTTTAGTGATTTTCAAAGGGAATGTACATGGTCATCTTTAGCAATTAATTAGTTGTGGGTGAAAGTATAAGACTACACATTAAGATAACCAAGCCAGCCACAAAATAATTAATACATTTAAGTATTCTTAACAGTGCTTTTTTTCAGATGTTGTCTGTGATACTTTTTATTTCAATTTAGATAATAAATTATTTAGGCATATCTGCACATAGATTTAATTTATTTTAAAGAATAATCCATTTTCCTTTCATTTAAATCAATTTATACAAATTAATCAAATGCAGAACTGATTTTCTTTAATATTGTTCTGTTTCTCAGGTTGTCATTAATGGAGACACAGACAGTCATGTTATTGAGGGTTTATTGCCCAACACGGAATATGAAGTTTCTTTGCTGGCAGTTTTTGATGATGATAGTGAAAGTGAAGTTGTTGCTGTTCTTGGAGCTACATGTGAGACAAACTCTTGATTTTTAAAGATGTTGAAGTGATTTAAATGTAATGCATATGTCTTATGTTTAAAATATAGTCCATCTTTGGATAGCTCTAATATTGAAGAATGTGGTGGTTTAGCACCAGGGCTTTACTGACTGTAGTTTTTGCTTTTCTTATTCAATGTTTTTGTAGTAGATGGCAATTAATCAAAATGATGGTTTGGCTCCCTGTCTGAGCTGTGGCATTAATGACCTTTGGAACTGGGATGATAATCTTCCATCCTACATTTCAGTATTTAGTCTTTGACCAGGATTTCTTATGAGAAGATACATTCATTTTGGGGGGGAATAAATTTTTTAAAGTAAATAATCTGCAAGAATTTGATGGTTTTGGCATTTACAGTATACCCTTTTCTTTCTTATTTATGCAATTTATACTCACTAGAGATAAACTGACTGTTGGCTGAAATAATGGTCCAAAAAGCTTACCCAGGCATCCTGTGACATTAAGATGAAAGTAAAAAAGATAAAAACTTGAAAGTAATGTATAGTCTATTTTATACTTAGTAATAAAACATGCATTTCAGTTAGGTGGATAGTGACTTGGTTAAGTAAACAACTATATTTTTCATGTGTAAATTCAAAAATTTATTTAATTCTTAGTAATTTAATTGCAGGCTCAATCTTGAACCATTTGTTATGACAAGAAGCCCTTGCCCCATCCAAATGATGCTGGTATTGCTCAGTGTTGCTTATTGTACTTTCTGCTTTTGACTTGGACAGGAGTGAAGCATCTTTCAATAGCCAGTAATTCAATCTGACAACCCTAACAAATGGTCAGAGTGGAAGGCATTCTGCATAGCTCAGCCAGAAATGTGGGAAACTACATGCATTCTTATTTAATTGTACAGTTTATAACTATGTCTTATCTGTAGATCTGAGTGCTAATCCTGCAAATATATGTGCCTGAAGTAAATGAAATGAATAGTTGCCTTGTAGTCTCTGAAATGCCTTGAAGTGTGTGGGATACCAGTAGGTGTGAGCACATAGTTTCTTTGTCATAGTTAGAAATACAGGATAAATAGTGTGACTTCCATGTCTTGTTGGTTTATTAGTGAGCTGAGTATTGTTTTTCAGTTGGAAGGACTACCACAATACCTACCACGGTGACTACTACCAGTACCACAACTTCTAAGGCCACCACAGCAGGTAAATGAATAATAGCAACAGTGTAAAAGCGATTTATATGCAGAGGGCTGAGGATCCCCACAGGCATGCTCAGATCTAGGGGCAGGCAGCTGTGATAGTACAGACAGTTCCTGATGGGCCATGTGGTCAGCACACTTACCATGGCAGATCTTGTGGTGGTGTAGACCCCAGTCAAGGGACATCACTGGTTAAAGCTGCCCACCATCGTGCTCCTGCACTGGTCTTCTGCACGTGGGCAGCTTCCTGCACCTACCGTGTGTGGAGGAGGAGCCGACCTGTAACACAGTGCGGGGACTCTGAGTAGTACCAGTGATATTATATAGGGATACAGAGTCTAATTTGGAAAATTAGCTCTCTCTTCTCTTTCC